CGCAAGTACATATGGTGTCGGAATATATATATTCGGTCAAAAACAGTACCTCTTACACTACAGCCGACGTTATAGCGGCTATACACACACACACACATATATATAATATTGCCCATGTATACGTAGATATCCGTCGTCATACCACTCCGTCATGACATCATCAAGTGGTTTTTTTGAGCCTTAACGCGCGTGTGTATATGTATACGTGTGTATATGTGCGATAACCTTATACACATATACACTCACTCACGGATATATACACACATATATATAGAACATTGGTGTAACATATCGTAGGGCCCTCTGGAAAGCAAGTTGAACAGTTATAAGCACATAGATTGGACCAAATGCATCGGATGATCTTTAACGTCTATTTTTTTTCATTATAATTTATAAACATTAGAATTATTATGCCGTACTTATTAGTTTTGATATTTATAATTCATCCTAAAGAAAACTTACAATTTAGAAATTTTTTAATGGAAATGATTATCGATACATTTTTTTTCTGTCCTGGAAAATAAACACGTTTACTACAAATTATTAATTTTTTTTATTAAAATCGATTCATGATAATCTATAGGATAAAACATTAATATATAATATTTATCATTTATTTTTTTCAGATGTTACTATGAGTCAAAAATCATTTCTCAACGAGTTCATGAAAATGGAATCGCGGAGTAATTTGAAGGAATAAAACATACGAAAGAATATTTTATTTTTTAATGCGACCAATGTTATACATTAATTTCATACAGACATCTGATTATATCATATATTATATAATGTTAATACTTATTTAAATAACATGATATGTATACTTTACCAAAAAAATATGATATGTATAATACTAAATACATTGTTTGTGAAGCTTCTCGAGAGTAATTAAAGAAACCATATGATACATATAGGCATTATTCATGGGCATCTTACAGCCCTTTTTAAAAAAAATATTTTTAACAAAAAGAATTGAAATTAGCATTACAAATTTGGTGGAGCATATGTAATATTCTCTTTACAACTCTATTATTGGAATTTTGCAGAATTATGGAATAAAACTCCACCCTGTATTTGTCTATATCTTTCTCGATCATATAATTATATTATAAGAATTAGGATTAAAGGTTCGTCTGTAAAATAGGTTCATTCATATACACAATGTCTTACATTTTTTATAATCCGAAATTAATCGAAATTTTGGCAAAATTATATCTTTAAAATGATCGAAAAAATTAAGGTGAATATCTCTCCCTAAATAGACACTCGAACCTTAGATAGTAAAAAGTTTTATTCCATTCTTTTTACCGGTTGAACCACACCTAATATTAGATATCTCACAATTACGTTAGACATTTTTATTTTATTTTCCATTAGCATTCAATTACGTTGGACATTTTTATTTTATTTTCCATTAGCATTTGTGGTGTAAAGACACTTGCAACCATCTTGATTTATGGGTATATAATATACATGCATACACGTGTAATGTTGGCACCAATTTTTTTATGATATGAAGCATATTGGTATGGGCTTTGCACCAAATAGAATAGATTATCTTTTATTTATAAATTTCTAGGTTTTTCTGAAAAACCTTTTTTTTTTAATTTTCAAATACTATAACATGGAAAAGGAATATGCTCAATTAATCGTGAGATAAAAAGTTTAACTTTTATGGATTAATTAATTATCTGCAAGCCAATATATATATGAGTGGTATGATTTATCGACCGAAAGTATGCAATACATGCAACCAGATATAGTTTTTTTTTGTAAATGTCGAATAAACCAAATATATTTCATATAGTATATTAGTATATACTTAGTCTTTCTATATGTTATACAGAGATTTGATTTATACTATTTGAAATCTATATACTTTTTTTTTTTTAAAATGCAAAAATAGATTCAAAGGAACGTAAGATAGCGGTTATTTCTTTTTATAGTAAAACTTAGATATATATATTTGGAAATAGGGAAATTTGGAGACTTAGGATTCATGAGTAGATGGATTGCCATTGAATGA